GTGGTGGTGGTGGTGGTGGTGGTGGTGGTGGTGGTCAGGTGGATGGTAGACGTACTGGGGCAGGACGGGGAAGCGTCAAGCACGATCAGGTTGGGTTCCTCTTTGTTTTATCCTGCAGGGAACTGACCGAAAAAAAAAAAGGAAAATGGACGATAACTGTTGAACGAGAAAAAGAATCCAATTCGATCAAAATTGTACGCCCCGGGCAGCACTAGAGAAAACGCAATAATGATAAAAAAGAACCAATAATGAATTCGCACCGAGAAGGCAGCCTAAAACTAGCGAAAATGCACAGGGCACCACAAAAAAAAATCATCCACAATTAATCAAATAGCAATGGGAAATAATGGGCCGATAAGGATTCGCGCTAGGGGCACCAATGGTTCAATGTTTGACAAACAGTCCAAGGGTAGTCAGGGATAATTGGGTCAAGGGGAATCCCAATTTAAACTTTCAAAACTATTAAAATTGAGTTCCAACTGGTTCTTGATTTTCTATTTCTATTTCGAAGATATTATCTCCAGTGATTGCTGAAAAGCAATCACCTCTAGAATGCGGTGATTTAATCCGCAACGACTTGGGAATAATCGAAAGAAAAAAAAAAGGGCAGAATATTAACTTCCAAAACAAACCGAATGCCGTATACAGCGGCTGGCCCCACGTCGGGTGCCAATTGTGACCTTGGCCAGAGAATTAGCCTGGGTAATTCCCAACCAAGGCACGATATTCGGGAATTTGCTGTACGTTACGGGGGGGCCTGAAATATCAAGGGGGGGGGGGGGGAGGTGAATGATTACTCGGGGGATTTAGGTAACTTGAATCTCAATATATTCTATATTCTCAATATAGTTAAGTTAAACAACGATTAACAAAACGAAAAAAAATGGAGGGCTTTTATCTACCAATTAGCTCGAGGGTGGGAAGAAAGGCCAGCCAGCTTGCGGCAACAAGTTATAGTCTATAATAAACAAAAAAAAGGGGGAGAAAATAATTCGACCGAAAAAGGGGGTGAAGTTAGGGCTGCTGATTTAATGACTCATGAATAAGGGGGATTGATATAATAATGATGATCTTCAAACTATGCAGTCATCCAAAGAATTAATATTATAAGAGGCTCACCGTTGGGGGAAGATATCACACGGGATTCGGTACTCTTGTTGGGGAGGGAAAGGAAACCAAAGGGTAGTCACGGTGACGCGGACTTTGGCAATCTTTTACGAGCAAAAAATCATCCACGGGCACACAAAATCCTCCACACCAAACAAAATCTTCTACGGGCAAAAATCCTTCACGCCAAACACTCCCGAAATCGCACGATTCCTGCCCGACTCTCTTCCTAAATTTTCTCTCCACAAATTTATCTCCAAAACTCTCCGAAACTGTTGCCGATAAGCGCGGTCACTCGGGGATACTCGTCATTGAGTGTCCTCGTCTTCATTATTCCTTGGGGGGGGGCTCGTCAAAGGATGTCTCCTTCTTCCGTGTCAAGTGAGCTGTGACATCGTCATGGCGGGTTTCGGTTTCTTCTTTTCTCCCATGGTGTTTCTGGCCAGCGTGAGTGTACTGGCGAGGGGAGCGCGGGGAAAGGGGAAGGAATAGTTCTGGAGTGGGAGCCAACGGTGACAGGTTTTCTAACCTGCTTTCGTATAATTTCCTTAATCTAGTATTTGTACTAGTTTACCACCTACTGAATGAACAGTTTTGTATTAGGCTGCAGGTGAGGAGCCGCAAATAGTGCCTCGTCACAATGTATATGACTTCGCTCTTTCAATAATTAAGTCTCCAAATTTCATTGGAAGGTCTTTTCCTGCACTTGTACCATTCTTAAAAATACCAATTTGAGTTTTCTTAAGATTTACATAAAGATCTGTAAAGGCTGACATAATCAAACAGACCGTTTGCAAGGTGTTGTGCCGATCGATAACTATCGGCCAAGAAGACCATGTCACCAGCGAAATGAAGTTGGACAAGATGGTGTAGGCCGTTCGGAGGAATCTCCCTCACTCCTCTATAATGAAAGAAGGAATAAATGTATGAGACGAACAAAGTAAATAATAGAGAATTGAGGGACTCACCCTGGAGAACTGTCTAACGATTATTGTAAAAAGCTTGGCAGTACAACTAATGGGGACGGATCCTCGGTAGTTTTTTGGGTCATTTTTATCGCATCTGTACGCCAGACCAAGAGGAGGGTGCTTGCTCCTTCGAGTATTTGGTTAAAAAGATGCACCAAATAGCATAGCCAGCTTTCCCGTAAATTTTAAATTAAAAATTCATTAGGAATTTCGTCGGCTTTACGCAGTTTATATTTCTTCGGACTGGCTAAGAGTTCGTCTAGCGTAATAGGATCATGGAGGCAGGGGTCAAAATTTCCAAATAAAAGATATTCCACAATGTTTTGGTTGGGTAGACATTGCGAAAAAAAAACTAAAAAAAAACTAGCATTCTGTCATCTAGAGAGACAACAAAACTTCGAGGCACAAAGCCAGTACAAAACTTTACCACCTGCTAGGACATTTTAGTATTGTTAACACGAGAGAATCTGTCTGTAATATCCATGTAATACGCTGTTTTACCGCTTCACAAAGTCCATTGAGAAGAACATCCCTCGAATCAGACTCAAAATTAGCAGACACCCTTTTGGATAAAAGCATATCACAAGGATAGTGAGGTGTAGGGTCGTTACTCCATCTGATAATTGTTTTTTTATGTAATTTCATGAGGTAGAATAATCTTTTAGTGGACAAGTGGATTGGTTATTGATAGGGAAATTCGATAGTTATCAGAGAAAGTGCTATTATGCTTAACACTGAGATTATTGACTAAATGTGAATATGAAAGGTTAACCCAGACTAGGTCGATAGTGCCGACGCCATCCAATTTGATGTATGGACGATCACCAGGTGTCCTATTATTTAGGATTAAAACATTATTGCATTGCATGAATTCACGAAGTAATTCGCCTTTCGGATTCTTCTTTCAATGTATAGAATCTCGCCTACCGTGAAAAATGGAGTTGCCAGACATTTCTTCCGGCCAAGAGTTAAGTTCTGCCACCCAACTATTAAAATCCTCCTCAAGAATCCAAAGGTGATCATCATCTTTAGAGTTAAACTTATCTAATAATTTTTGCAACGTTTCAAAATCCTCATTAAGAACAACAAAGTGATTCAAATACAATGAGTAAACAATAAATACAAAGTTGTGAGACCTTGCTTCCAGTAAAAGTATAACTGCCCAGGACCATTTGCGTTCCAGAAGTCGATCCAGATTTTAGTGGCACTGACTGTATTAGGCTCTGAATCCTTAAATTGTTTTCGCCTTAGCTTGTTTCCCTGGTTCATATTCATATTTAGCGCAGATTGGTTAGATGTGAGCCTAAATGCAACCACCACTGGGATCAATTTCTATGTGATATCAACCCAACCCCACCATTTACCTTGAACCATAATTTCCTAGTTTCGACGCGGCGCCGCTTGTTTTAGCCTCCTTATGTATATCACGCAGCTTCTTCATGATACGGCTTTCTCTGGAAATTCAATAGTCTCAGATGACATTCTCCAGTTTAAATTTCTCCTTCAATAAGTTGGTGATACACATTGGAGTAGGAAGTTCGTTGCTGGGAATCCCCCAACTAACAGTGTTGAACTTTTTAGACCCCGTTTTCCTTTTCATTTCCTTCAATTTTTTCCAGGGCTGCATTAAAATTGTGGGCCAGGGAGTCCTTCAGGTTGCTAATATGAGCAAGTTGTGCAGCAGTGGAAGATATATTGGCTTGTCAAAGATTCAAATCGGTGTCTGAGACAGCAGTCGGCTTTGAAAACTCCAAAGAACTGAGCCTGGTCTTGATAATCCCCAATATCGTCTCAATTTTAGTTTCACTGGGCGCAATTTGGCCTTTCAGTCCATTGTACATAGATTTAAGCTCATTGAAATCCTACGGGTACCAGTTGGATACGCATCGGCTTTTGTCCAATTGTATTCTTCTAATGTCGAACGTGGCATGCTTATGCATTTTCTTGACATTCATGGCCCATAAATTGGTGCAACATCGTGCATTAGAACATTAATTCTTAAAAAAAAACCATAAATGGGAGCACTGCTGTCCTTCAGAAAACTGGCCTGTTAAATGGAGTGGACTCGTTACTTTCGTTGGATATGGTGACGCCAGAGTCCCGGCCCCTGTTCCCATCTGCCAGTACTATTAGAAGGTTGTCTAGTCACCGCCCCCCGCATTTAATAAACAAACGAGAAGTGTCTTTTAAAAAGTGCCATTTAGCAATTGTGTCGCTTCTTTCAAATGATTCGTGGTTTACAGGTATTGGTCTCTCAATTCTTACATCTTAAATGCCTTTAACATATAATGTTACCTTTGGTAGCTGCCTAGTGGTCCCTTTCATTGTTCTCACTTTACATAATCGATAATGAGACTGGTCATACCAACATATTATGTGGCTTTTGCCCGAAATGTTCTTTTCCTCCAAGTTTATCCTGATATCCAAAGCTTATCTGTAGTAAACTGTGGTGGCCTAAACAATAGTTTCAGCAATTTTAATTTCACCAAACGCAATAAAAAATATACAAAACAATTTTGGTCAATTCACAGACAACGAGTTGCTCTATTGAACACAGTTTATCGGCTCTGAAGTCACCATAGAGGAGACTTGCATTATTTGACCGAAGTGATTTTTATATCGAAATTTCGTTTAATTTTCTAATTTAATTGAAATATAAAAAGATGAATGACCCAAATATTTTCCAAATATTTTTTAGATAAATATCATTCATCGAACGTCACTAAATAATTTTCTTCTATAGCGAAATCTTCAATGCAATAACGTATCACTCTCAGCGTTCTGCAACTTTTGTAGCAACATCAAAGTTACTGACATTGACACTAATTTAATTTTGAATATCGTCTGGATTGTGTGACGGCATATAACTTATTCTTAAGACTTTATTATTCATTAGATAACGGAGACTTGTTCATATTTTTGTAGGTATTATGCTCCTATCATGGTATGGTTAACCTTCATCATGCCTACCTTACTACCGGTTTATATTTGGCACGAAAGCTGGAACATCAGCATCTATGCGGTGATAATTAGGTACGTGTGGCTTCTAAATGCAACATTCTCCGTCAACAGCTTCGCTCACATGTGGGGTAATCGGCCGTATAACAGGTACGTCATTATTTTTCGTTTTTATTTCCTATTCATTATTTTTCCTAGTTCCCATACTCAAATTGTAGATCAACTATAAACCAATGTGATAAAACAATCTTTGCATTTATTTCACACCATTACCGTCTATTGTTTTCGCATTTTACTTTGTAAACGAATGATTCACCGCAACGATATTCCCCACATATAACTGGACTTTACGCCAAAAAACTTTCACAATAATTCGTCATAAGTCGGAAACTGCTTCAGTCGACAGTTTGGTAAAAAACGTCACATAAACTGTCACTTTTGTAGTTGATAAATTCCTAGTGAAAAAGTAAGACGTTAATCTGAGCAATAGAATCAGCCATCACTCTTCAGCCATCAGCCATCACCCAAAGTGCCAGTGACAGGCTCAGTAATACAACCAGAAATTTCGCCAGAGCTGATCCCGGTAACTGAGTACCTGATGGTCACACTCCCTTTTGTGGACTCTTTTCTGAAAACACATATGCTTCGACAATTTCAACTCGCTGGTCTACAGCAGGCAAACGGTCTTTAGCGGCGGGCTTCAACTGAAAATCGGCGAGCTTGGTCTCCACGTTCTTGTAGAAAATCCGGTAACTAGCATCCATAGCCTCAAACTTTGCAAAATCATTGATAATCCAGTGCTTTGCTGGGGAGGAAGTTGAGGAATTTCCAGAGTGCCAGAACTTTAGGACAGACTAGATGGACGGATGTGATGCAGACCAGCTTTCAATTACTGATGGTACCTCTCAAGGCCAAGATTTAAAGACTTCCAGTTTATTAAGAGATAAGGATAGAGAACACTCCAAGCGAGAGAGAATGCCAGATAAAGCAAAAGGTTAGGTACTCCACTCCAGTTTTTGTATGCCATGAAAGAAGCCAGGAGCAACCAAGAGACGAGCAAATAGGTCAAAATGTCGGTTGCAAGAAAACGCAAGGAACTCGAAAAAGAGAACATCTGAAGACGAGATGGGGGCAAAAAAATAGCCTTAGAAGAGCGGATGCAAAAGCGTGTGTGTTTTTACTTACAGGTGAAATGATCCCAATCAAGAGAAAGATTCGCTCGAGTAGGTTTGTCACACACCTCTTGAAATAGAGGAAAATAATGTATAAGATAACCCCGAGAATCGGGGTTGAAAACAGTCGAGGAAAGAGTCTTGTTAGTGGTGTGTGGGAATTTTTATTCGGCTTACGGTAGTAGAAAATAATCAACAGATCTTTCTTCTGAGTTCTCGATGACGGAATGCTCCAATAATTCTAGTATCGTCAGCACCTCTGGAGATGAGTCTGTTCAAAACGCTGTCTCGCAATTATCTCGATGATGTTGAAGAAGACTATGAGGATGTTGGAGATCGCCGATGAATGCTGGTGCTACTAATTAAGTGAAAGCAAAATGAGAAGGTTAATATTATTTCGGCTTGCCGAAGGGCATTTTTCACGAAAACCCCCCACTGCTTCACAACAGGCTGGGATGAAATGGAGAATAATAACCGCGGATTGATGTTACTGAAAATTTGAAATGAGAATTCGAAGCAGCTTTGGCGACTGTAGCTCGTTATCGATGACAAAGATAATAATGAGCTCAGCTGTCGATGGAATTGTCCACTACCTTGGTACTGCAATATGTGGAAGACCCTCGACTCACCACGTAGGTATCAGATTAGTCATGCCAACAAAAATGTGGTGCTGCGGAACTGGCTTACAGTATGAACAAACTGGCAGGCGCCCATTTGGCGATCGTCGTCTGTTCAATTTCAGAACAGATTCGAAATCAGTCGCGATAGCTAGAAATCATTCCGCAGATTGCTCTTCTTCTTGAAGAATGAACTAGTGACTAGATGACTAGTAGGATTCCATTCGATGAGCAGGAATGGATTACTGGAGACTACTCGGTTTTGATTGCATGAATACGGACGATGGGACGTAATAAGAAGAGTCGAGTTATCCACTCAGACTAGATTTCATTTGGAGCAATGAACGGTGGTCCCCCAGAATGAACTTTGAAAATGAAGAGCCGGAGAGTTAATTGGCAATGATTTGACTTAACCAATAATGACCCTTTATATACCATTTTTGGTGTGATTCCGTTATGGCCGTTAGCGGTTCCATTTTTCCTTAGCTGACGCTTCCAATAGGTGGAGAGATCTCCATATGTTTAGCAATGCATCTAAGCGAGGTGCTTATCAAATGGCTACCCTCAATGTGGTGTCACAGCCTGGTTCTCTTTATTTTTCTGTCATGAAGCGAATATTGATTTTTGTTCATGTGGCCTCCTCTGCGGTCCCATTGCCTGGGCCAACCTCCCGTAATCAATGAGGTATGTGCTCAGGGCCGGTGAAACCCATTGCTTTGCAGTATCAAGATGTCGGTATTGAGGGGACCGTGGTTGATGTGGTCCATTTCTAAGCTACCGACGCCCTTTCTTATTTGGGACCGTTTTTATCTGCCGTTACTATCCGCCGAGTGGCCCGCCCTTGGACCCTCATTCAATAAAATGAAAAAAAAAGGCGCCTGTGTCCTGCTCGATTGGTGCTACAAAACTTGTCCATTTCAGAATAAAGTGTTTACTCTTAACTTCTTTCTAACTGCTTTATTTCATACTATTATTGTGGCGCTTGATGACATTATTTGATATTAAGTCAAATTATTATATAAATAGTTACCGCGTTTCGCCACGAGCGGCTGTCGCGTCGTACTCAGAATGCCGAGACATGTCGGATTGACACGGGACCCTTCGACTCCAGAGCCACGGGCCATATGCCGTCATCCCTTTTATCCCGAGCCAGACCAACTTTGAAGATACAAAGTCGTCTCTACATGCACTTTGCTCCGGAGCATGTAATGGCGACTTTGTGTCTTCGAAGTAGATCTGGTTCAGGAAAAAAGGAAAGACGGCATAAGAGATTGCATGGGATATCTAGGAGCATCTCCCTATGCTCGCTCTGGCGAATTTTACCACTCGGATGTGGAGTGTATCCCTCCTGTGCTAAGATTGTTTAGCCATACGGGTTTCCCAGCAAGCCAGTGGCCACTCTCGTCGAAAGCTGGTGCTTGACTGCTCGAAATTTTCTAGGGCCTTCTCCCTCTAGCCTGAGTATTTCGGCGACAACGTGGTCAGTCCGTTACCCGTGCTGCGGCCAATCAACCCGACGGGATCTCACCAGTCACTCAGAGTTGAAAGGTATCACGATTTCCACTCGAATCGCTATTGCCTTGCCCATCATCGGAGGAAAGTCTTACATATCATCCAACCGCGGCCTTCTCAGTCGACACCAGATGGCTTTTCCGTCTCCGCTGCCCATACAATTGGGTTCTTTTCGGTTAAAGGGGATTTCAACCCGTAACGAGAAAAATGTACTAAAGGTATTCGTCAAGACCATGTTGCAGTTTCCGGGTTACTGTATGATCGATAATTTTATTATGCCCCAGAAATATGATTAACTAAAAAATACTATTAAGCAATTCGTCCACTGATATGGATGACATGAGATGACGTGGGAATAAAGTATGATTGAATCAGACAATGTCGAATGCAGAATGTTCAAATATTAATTGACCGGAATATTCATGGATCACGTCCACGTACATTCGTCATAATGTGGATCACTGCAATCTGACAGAGAGGCGGGCAACCTCAGGCAGGCTCGGAGCTGTAGCCATACAATTATTAAGGTTCCAACTATAAGGGATCTAACGTGTTTACAAAGGTTGACGTATATTTGTGTGGTGGGGGTAACATCGGGCGATGACGCATGCGCGTGATTGAAATGCGAAGGCGAAATGATTTGAATTTTTATGGACGTGTTTAGAGATTTTCTTGTTGATTAAAAAAAAATGGAATTAAAATTTGATGGTTGAGATTCAACATTCATCGGTGGAAATGAGAGTGGAATGCTCGTGAACTTGAGAAAGCAAAATTTCATCGTCAATTGAAGATTAAAGGACGCCAATAATTTTTTGATTGTCAGATATTTGTGATTTTTAATTTGGCATTGAGAGCGGAAATAGAGAAATGAAAAGTATGAAAATGAATGCCAAGTCAGATTTATTAACAACATAATAAACAATATTTGCACCTGAAAAAATGTATGAAAGGTAGGACATTTTTTTTTATGAAATCGATTAAAACCAACCAATAACCAATCAAAAGCATAATAACAAAAAACAACAATAATTGAAGAAATATTTCCATTAGAGAAATGGAAAATTTTTCTATCTCACTTTTACCACCACCAAATTTCTACCGAATATCCCTTGTAACGCGATTTTCGCGTTAATAGTTTATAAGGATATTTATGGGATTAAAACACGCTCTCTGACGTACCGATTGGGACCGCTATTCCCCACGCGTGGGAAGTTGAGGTTAGAGTACTGAACTTCAGCTTCCAAATGAGACTCCTCTGTCGGAACACTTGGTTCTCAACTCCAGGGAACTGTTCCACGTTAGACGGGGCGGGCATTCAAATGGCCAAGAGTCCTGATAAGGGGTTACCTGGACGGCCTGGTTGGTGACATTTGAATTCGGCGCGCTCCAGGAAACGTTACCGGCAGGGACATCCTCGCGGTGGCGATGAGAACTCCGCGGATAGTCCCCCACGCACTCCAACCGCGTGAGTCGAGAGTGGGGAGTCGACCATACTAGGTGGGCGCTCTCCACTCTGCGCGTCAGAGTTGCTCCGGCAGTCTCGCGGGCCAGTCGGCCCCGGGCTCTACCCAGCCCGTAGCTCTCGACACTTACCGTGGCTATATAGCCCGCCCTACCGTTTATGTACGGCTATCTATTTTGTACCATCTTACGGCTGAGCTATCTATACCTGGCTAAAGGTATTATTATATACTAAGCTCTCGCCATGCTAGCGCGTACCGGCCGCTATCGATTTTCTATCGCTACCTAATTACCGACAGCTCTCTCTACCCTACCGGCTATCGACTATTACTGTATCGACCCGATCTGCTATCGATCATCTTAAGCTAACGGAGACCGACCGCTCAAA